TGGTTTACAGAGCTCTGTCTGGTAAAAAGCTTCCTTCTGGTTTTTGTGATATTGCAGAGCATTATCTGGTGGAATGGGGGGTGGGGAAAGCCTCCATTCTGGGACACAGCTGTTTGGGGTGAGTTTTGGCTGGTTGGTTGACCTATGTTGATAAACCTCTGACTAACAAGAAAGTGGTTTTTATTATAATACTGTTTGGCTTATACATTGTATAATCTAGACTCAGGAGAGCGATGGCTGCTGAATGGGTCTTTAAGTTACTATATTATACTGCAATTAGAGTTGTTTGTCAAAGATCAGGGAAGTGGGACAAAATGCTTTACCTAGAACCTTTCATGAGTTCACGTAATAAGGATGCAGGATTAAAAGGAAGTAGATTAATGGTCCAGAGAAAAGGGAATTTGCCTGTGAAAGACAGCAGAAGCTCAGAGGACAGGGACTGAGAAGACCTGAATATCATGCAGCTGTGAGCAAGGTTGGGGTTCCCACAGCCCCCCAGCCTTGGGGGATCTTCCTCCTTACTCAGCTGAAGGAGCTGGGGAAAATGAGCCTGAACTGGTGTCACCACCTTGAACCCATCAGGGAACCAAATTTGGTGGAGGACAAGCCCCAACCAGGGCAGGGAAATACCCTTTGTGAAAACTTCCAGTGGGAGTAGGGCCAAAGGGCCAGCTTGCTGGATATTATGGGCAAATGCTCCGGTTTCTACATCAGATCTGTCAAACTGGAAAAGCTCTGAAAGGACCAGAGTATATATCCCTTTAGAGTGGATAAAGGAGTACACTAAAGCTTTTGAGTCCCTGAAGGTGCACCAGCTTCTGTGCCGGCCTTGGCATTTCTGAACCTACTGAAGCTCTCCCAATTATAAATTCATGAAAGGCAGGGCGTTCCCCTATGAATCCTCACCCAAACAATTAGTGACATTTCACAATCCATCGGCTTACTTGTCGAAGAAACTAGATCACACTATCCAGGGGTGGCCAGCCTGCTCGAGGGCTGTCAGCCACCTTCAAGCTCTTACAGGAAGCTGAAGTTTTCCTTGGGACAGCCCATCAAGTATTGGGCCTGCTGGAGTGGAAGGGAAAACTGTGACTCACTGCTGGAAGAAAGGGAAGGTACCAAGCCATTCTCAACAATCCTAACATCTCCCTCAAAATGGTAAGTTAAATTCTGCCTCTTTTCTCCCTGGATCCTGACATGTCTACACTAATACATGACTGTGCTGAAATAACTGATGAAGAGTATTCTAGCAAAATTGATTTACAGGACCATCCTCTAGAGGAAGCAGAGTGGATTGTCTATGCAGATGGAAGCAGTTCTATGGACAAAGGAAACAGAGAGGCTCAAAAGAAATGCAGTTGTGGCTCTTGAAGGAGCAGTGGAGGCCAAGGCCTTGCTGCCAGGAACCTCTGCTCAGAAAGCTGAACTGATTGCATTGATGAGGGCACTGGAACTGTTGTGCAAAAAGAGCATGAATGTGTATACCGACTCCAGGGAAGCTTTCCTAATTTTCCAACCACATAGTTCCATCTGGAAGGAAAAAGAACTGTTAGCCTTCAAAGAAAAAGGAGAATAAGCATGCAGCAGAAATTTCAAAATGATTAGAGGCTGTTCAGGTGCCTCTACATGTGGCAGCTATGCACTGCCCGGGGCATCAGAAAGAGGACACTGGAGTGGCTAGAGGAAGCAATCTGGCTGACCGGGCAGCAAAAGAGTCACTGAAGGAACGTTCATAATGCCTTTGGAACCTGTTCTAGATTTGTCACAATTTGACCCTGAGTATTTGACTGTAAACTTAGAGAAAACTGAGAGCCGGGGTTCTGATGAAGAAGGAGCTGACAGTGGATGAAGAAAGGATAAGAAAGGAGTTGTACGGCTCCTTGAACATTTAGTGGAGCCAGTCATGAAGCATTTGCATGAGGCCACTCACTATGTAAGGGACTTATTAACTATGTATATTAAACTGTGGCTCACAAATCTTGGACTTTCTAAAGCCATACGAAAAGTAATTGCTAGATGTGTTGTGTGTCAGAAGAACACCCCAAGACAGATCCCTGCAATACCAAGGACAATGCCCACTTCAAGACTGGCAAATAAACTTTACCCAGATGCCAAGGGTCAGAAGGTGGAAATATTTGTTAGTCTTGTTGCCACCTTTTCGGGATGGGTAGATGTCTATCCTACTAAAACAGAGAAATCCTCAGAGGTAGTGAAAGCCTTACTAAAAGAAATAGTTCCTTGCTCTGGCCTGCCCTGTAGCATCCAGAGTGATAATGGGCCTGCTTTTGTTTGAGAAATTTCACAGAGGTTTAGTAAGTTTTCAGGAATCAAGTGGAGACTCCACATGGCATGGAGACCTCAGGCTTCTAGAATAGTAGAGAAGATGAATCATACTTTGAAGAAAAATATAGCCAAACTATGTTAAGAAACTCATCTCCACCCTGGCTGGTGTGGCACAGTAGATTGAGTGCCAGCCTGCTAACCTAAAGGTCCTTGGTTCATTCCCTGTCAGGGCATATGCCTGGGTTGTGGGCCAGGTCCTGGTTGGGGGCGTGTGAGAGGCAACTGATCAATGTAGCTCTCACACAACAATATTTTTCTTGCTCTCTTTCTCCCTCCCTTCTCTTCTCTCTAAAAATCAATAAATAAAATCTAAAATTAAAAAAAAAAGAAACCACCAGTGAATGCATAAATAAGTGGAACAACAAATCAATGTTTGTCTCTTCCCCCTCTCTCTAAAAAAAATCAATAAATAAAAATTTAAAAAACAAAAGATAAAAAGAAACTCATCTCCATTGGGATCAAGCTTCACCTATCACCCTGCTCAGGATATGGGTGGCTCCTCAAAGTGGGGTTCAACCGAGTCCTTATGAAATTGTGTACCAGTGACCATTTCAGGCTACGATTGGGGTGGGAGATATGTATATAGATCAAGAAGTGAAGGTAAAGAAATATGTACAACATTTAAGTCAGACCTTAGCTGTACTGAATGACCTTGCCTATGTTAAAGACTTCTCCCCCACAGGTTTGCTGCATTCCTTTGAGCCTATAGATAAGGTGCTACTCAAGGCTTGGAAGACAGGATCTTTAGAAAGCCAACTAGGGGAAAAGTGGACTGAACCTTGGGACGTGCTCCTCACCATCCCCACCACAGTGAAACTGGCAGAAATAAAACCTTGGATCCATCACACAGGGTAAAGAAAGCACCGGAGGAGCGATGGACTGCTGAACATCAAGAAGACCTGAAAGTCATCTTCTGAATACAATGACTTACATTCTTTAATTACTTTTTGCTTAACCCCATGTTATAGAGAACTTATTCCTTTCAAATGGGATGACAATATTTGGGTATATTCAGCAGAAATGTTCTAAACATCTCTGAATTTTGCCTCGCAGGAAGAACTTACGTTGAACCAACTTTCACTTCATATCTTGTAGGTGTTTGTACTCCCCTAGAAAGCCTTTGAAATTATACTTAGTTTAAGGATATCAATAAGAAAATAACCTACTCTGATATTTATAACTGGGGACCTGTGGTAACTCTAAAGGACAGGGAAATGTTTTCCTTAAAAGTCACTAACATAGCTCCAGCTGGAGAGTGTGCAATTTTGGTCAACTGTACTAAAAACCGTCTTGTGCTTTATCAGAGCTTGCTGTTGCATGCAATGTGACCCCTTATGTGGATCTGCAATTAAATGTATTCCTAAGCCCCCTACCAGAGGGTCTAATGCTAAGATATGTGCTCAACAGCAAAATGAATACTTCCATATGATACTGATCTCACAGAAATAAGATAGTTTAGACTAACAGTGGGGGAAAGGTGGGGGACTCAAGAGTTGGAAAATTTTAGTTTCAGGTAACAGCTCATAATCAGTGCACGTACAAGCTATTGTTCTGGGAACTGAAGGTATGACCCACCCTGATTCCAGGAGACCGTGAGCAGTTCCACCTTTGTGCCTCAGGAGGCCTGCAAGCCGTCAAGATGGTATCGGAGCCACCCTGCTCCAGGGTGAGACACCCACTGCCCACGGCACAGATGGAAGAATGCAGCTGCTTTTATCTGATTGACTTTTTCCTGAATTCCAAACCCCTTACCTACACTTCTTGTAAAACTGGTCAGTTTAAAATGGAATTTAAGATGGTCTGTCAGGGTACAAAGCTGCTGTCTTCTCAAATTACTGACCACATGAATAAAGCTCCCATAAAGATTCAAAAAAGAAAAAAAAAGAATAAGACAGATCCATATGACCCACCATGGAAGGTTCTCCATGATATATTGTTAAGTAAACAATAAAATATCGAATGCTATGTGCATTGTGTTTCATTTGTGTGAAAAAAGAAACAGGAAATACGTAAGTTCATAGGTCCACTTAGGCTCAGATGTGTGGGGGATACCTGTGGAGGGTTGCCCGAGCTCTGCAGCAGCGAGCACCTCCAGGGAGACACCTGGGGATGAGAGGGATGCTCGTGTTTCTCTGTGTACCCTTTCATACTGTTTGAGAAAAATTTTTTACAGTACACACGTACTGGCTCTTTACTACATACATAATACATAAGCACATACCAATGTGTTTCCACACAGCCTGCTTTCCACTCCTATTAAGTACAAAGCAGTTGTTTGCCCTAACCATGGGAAAAGAGTTCCCATGGAAACTCTTTTCTAATTCTGGAAATTGGAGTGATAGGAGTAGAAAGATCTTTATAAATGTCCTCACTGCTGGAGTCACTTACTCTCATGTGTTTGCCTTCACCCGTAGGAGTTGTCGAACAATCAGATGGGGCTACGGGAAGTGAGGGCCCCGCGCTCCCTGCACAGCGGAGTCGGGACAGGGAGGCCGGAAAGGCTGTGGTCTGAGCGGCAGCACGCTGGCACCTGAGGTTGAGGAACTGCCAGTAACTGGGCTCTCGTTTCCTCTGTGGATTCTCATCACTCACAGTGAAGTCCTTGAACTTGGCGTTTCTGCATCTATTAAATGGTGACAACAATACCTTCTTTCTAGGTTCTTCGAAGGAATAGGGATGAAAGCATCTGGCACAGTGCCTGGCTCAGCTGTAGCTGAGTGCAGCGTGTTTTGCAGTCACCCTGACTGACTGCTCCTCAACGGGTCTGAGAAGGAGGTGCGTAATCAATCTTAGAGTGTCCCGGATGATGTTGGATGAATGTCCTGGGTTTAAATTCAGACTCTGATGTTTAGAGGAGGTTATTAACAGAAGTGTCTTTGCTCTCGTTTGACATTATTTGGGGGGGTGGGGTGGGGGAGTCTTTATTCCCTTCAGTGTGGACATCTTTGCCACCAATTGGAGAGAACCAGCCTGAGACTGAAGCCAACACAAAGGATCTGAAAGTGGTAGGGCAGAGGAATAAGGGAGTAAGGTGTGGTTTCTAAAGGAAATTCTGGTGCTTTCACCTTACAAGTAGGAAAGGACTCAGCGGGAAAGCCCATAGCTACCCACCATGCTTAGTGTGATACACTGGGGTAGGGGGGTGAACGGTAGCAGGGTGGGGAGAGGGCTGGAAGGACTCAAACAGGCCATCGCTTGTACTTAGAGTGGACTCTGTGAGATGCCTTGTGTGGGCAGCTGGAAGGTGAACGATGAGCTGGGTTCCCCAGGAGGGTCTTCAGAGAAACGAGACTAGAGGGAGTCTTTGTGAAATAATTAAAGGATTTCAGTAGCAGTGTGGAGATGGGGCCCATGGTCATCCCCCCTCCATTCTCCCAGCCTGGACTTTGCACAGCCTGGCCAGACTTCCATATGACCTAGATCTTTCCTCACTCCCTCAGGAGTGGGTGGTGGAAAGGTGACAGTCCCACTCACTAGTGGTTCAAACTTAAATCAGCCAGTTAGTACTTCTGTCCTGGCTGCTGGGGCCCTTTGCCTTCCCAAAGAGCCTCTTCCCCATTAGGGTGACTAGTTATCCCAGTTTTTCCAGGATTGTCTCTGTTTAGCACTGAAAGTCCCACATCCTGGGAAAACCCTCTATCCCAGACAAACCTGCTGGTTGGTCACCCCAGAATGGAGAATCAGCACTCCTACCTAGTAGGTGACTCATGTTTGAGAGCACCGTGCTGATGCTGGAAGCACAGGACTAAATACGTCAGCTCTGGGCTGTACCTGGAGGAACTGGGTGTCTGACAGCAGTGGTGGGATCGAAATGGACCATTTCAGAGAGATGTGGTATGACAGAGACGAAGGCAGAGGTCCAAGGGGCTGTCTCATACAGTACTGTAAGGAAGAAGCTGTGGAGGGGCTTGTGAACTAGGCATTGGTAAATGATGGTGTTTGTGGATGGGAGAGGGTGGGGGTGGAAACGAACACTGCCATAGGGCCAGGAGCTTGCAGAGACATAGTGTGATGAAAACCTGGTGCTTGGGGGAGTAGTGACAGCTCCTCTAATCCCCACCAAACATTTGCAGGGCCGAGGGCAAGTGTACAGATAGAAGCCTATAGATCATGTGTCTAAATATTTAAAAATTAAATCAGGCACAAGCTCTTAAATAGACACCCTCTCTTCTTTTCCCTTGACAAACACACCGTCATATCACTCTGGGATGCCAGGGTAGAGACTGGAATTCCCAGGCTCTCTGGTGCTCTGGCTGGAAGGAGACCATCCAAGAAGGGCTGGGCCCAGGTCTGGCTCCCATACCTTCTTCCTACTCCCAAATCTGCTTCTTCCTGTACTACTAGGGGCCTCACACACACACATGGCCCCTGACACGGCATCACAAACTGTCCATGTCCCTTGCAAACAGCTTGCTCGTTCCTGAGGCCGAGGACAGTGACACTGGTTGGGGGAGGGGGTGCGGGGAAGAGGCCTGAGCGGGCCCTGGAAGTGGGCAGGGAATTCTCAGGTCGAGTATGGTTTGGGATGGGTACAGACTCTAGGTGGGCACGTCCCGAGGGTCCTGCAGACTCTGCCCCGTGGAGCGGGGGGCTTTCCTGCCTGGGTGTTAGAATGATCCTGAGTGGTAAGGAGTTCCTAATGGCTGGAATGCTGTCATATTCAAGTAAACAGTAGTGGTGGAGGCTGGTTCCTATTACTATGAGAGATGACAAAATTAATGGCTCCACATTTTGTTTTTTAGGAAGAGAAATGTCAGAAATGACCTGGGAAATGGCCTGCCGCTCTTCTTACCCCGTTTGTGCAAAAGTTGGGCATGTCCAAGTTGATGTGTGGAAGCTGGCCTTTTGGTCCAATAAAACTGAGAAGCTAGAAATGAACAGGACCTAAGCTACACACCCTCTGGGGTTGTCAGAGTGGGAAACTGGCCACTTGCAGGTGAGTCAACTTCTCTCTGGCAATACCCCACGGCTCATGTGAAGTGAGTAACCCTTCTGAAGTAGAGATGTTATTTCCTTGTCCTCCCATTAGATGCCCCAGGTTGTGTATTAAGCGATGACCTAGACTTTCAAGGCTATGACATCGTACAGCAGGGGGAGCTAAAGGAGCTTGATTCTTCCCGAGGCTGCTGGACGCCTCAGATTCTAACTTCCTGGTCCCAGCCACAGCATATGCTTGAAACGTTTCCTATTAACAGATTACACAGAACAGCTATTTTCAACCAGTATGCCACAGACCTTTTCAAAACACGCAATACCTATTTAGTAAGGGGCACCGAACTCTTTTTCCTTAGGTTTCAAATTAAAAAATGACAACAGCTAACACAGTAGCTGTCCAGTGTAAATGAATAAAAATTATACCTATTTTTTGTCAGATTGACAAAAAAAGATATATTTTTGGTATCCTGCAAAATTTAAGTAATTAGTTTGTGGGCCATGAGATGAAAAGGTGGAAAATTGCTGACATAGAATAATTACATTTTGTTAATTTTCAAAATTAACAAAAAAAGGTGCTGCTGAATTCTCAGCCAAACATTCTAAAAAAATAGAATTACTTGATGTCTTGGATGTCAAGAATTAAACAATAAAAAGCATAGTCATGTTCCTGATATAACCAGTTTTTCCACTAGTTGTCTAAATTCAGTGTTTCATTTTAAAAATTGCACACCAAGCCAACTCTCTTGTGCACTGACCAGCTTGCTTGAAGAGTCAGATCAAGGGCTGCGAACTGGGGAGGGAGGGAGGGCCAAAGGGGCCTGCTTCCCCAGGAGGAGGTTAGTAGACAGCCAGGAATCGGGGAGGGGTACATGAGGACCTCTCAGATAGAGAGGGAAGGGAAGCAGAAGAACCACTGCCTCTGTAAGGGGAACTGATGGAGGCAGAGGGAGTGGAACCAAATCAACCAACAGGTGATGAAAACAGAGGAAGAGGGGTGCCAGGAATGAAAAGACCTAAAGTAGTAAAAGAATACGTATAGACAGGATTGATTTGCATGATTTGTCATCCTTTTAGTCCAGTTACCTTCTCAACTGTTATAAATTCCTTCCATATGAAATTTGTTTTTGCTAGATAATGCAGTGAGCAAACAGCAGCAAACAGCAGTTATAAAATTTGGAGGGAATTAGTTTTGAATTGCCCTTCAAATACAAAATTAATGGCACTGGCCAGCCAGTAGAAGGACTGGATTTTTTTTTTTTTTACCTTCACCCAAGGACATTTTTTTTGCATTGATTTTAAAGAGAAAAGAAGGGAGGGAGAGGGCAAGGGAAAGAAACACCAATGCAAGTGAGAAGCACCAATTGGTTGCCTCTTGCACACAGACCTACCAGGGATCCCACATGCCTGGACTGGGGAGCAAACCTGCAAGCCAGGTATGTACACTGACTGGGAATCCAGCCCACAACCCTTAGGTTATGAGAAGACGCTCCAACCACTGAGCCCCATCAGCCAGGGCAGGACTGGAAATTGAATTACTGTATTTTCAGGACTGTAAGATGCACCTGACCACACCTAGGGTTTAGAGGGAATATCGGGAAAAAAATTCTGAAGCAAAAAATGTGGTAAAATATTTAATAACGTGTGACCCTGCTCCACTGCTGCCCCCCTCCCCACAGCAAGCCAGGCAAGCCACATTCAGACTATAAGATGCACCCTTGTTTCCCCCCAAATTTGGAAAAAGTGCGCCTTATAGTCCAAAAAACATGGTTATTTCCCACAATTCATTAGGTGATGAATTGTGGTGCTTGAGCCACTGAGTCACATTACACACTGTGACCAACTACATGCTTTTGAAGATAATAAGCTGAGGTTAGAGTATAGTCTGTGACAATGGAACAGATTTTTTCTTTTTTAAATTTTTATTTTATTTTGTTGTTCAAGTAGTTTTCTGCCTTTTACTCCCATCCCAGCCCACGCCCCCAGCCCTCCCCACCTCCCTCCCATTTCCACCCACACCCCCCTAGTTTTTGTCCATGTGTCCTTTGTACTTGTTCCTGTGAACCTTTCCCCTTTTCCCCTGAAATTCTCCCTCCTCTCCCCTCTGGTCACTGTCAGCCTGTTCTCTATTTTAGTGTCTTTGGTTATATTTTGCTTGTTTTGTTGTTTAGGTTCCTGTTAAAGGTGAGATCGTATGGTATTTGTCTTTCACCACCTGGCTTATTTCGCTTAGCATAATGCTTTCCAGCTCCATCCATGCTGTTGCAAAGGGTAGGAGCTTCTTCTTTCTTTCCGCTGCATAGAATTCCATTGTGTAAACGTACCACAGTTTTTTGATCCATTCATTTACTGATGGGCACCTAGGTTGCTTCCAGCACTTGGCTATTGTAAATTGTGCTGCTATGAACATTGGGGTGCATAGGTTCTTTTGGATTGGTGTTTCGGGGTTCTTAGGATATAATCCTAGCAGTGGAATTCCTGGGCCAAAAGGCAGATCCATTTTTAGTTTTCTGAGAAAACTCCATACTGCAGATATTTTCTTTATGTGAAAAATTACTAGCTATACTGGTAATAGCACTAAATTATAATTTCAGTCTATGTCTTTTATTTTTAATTTTTTAAAAGATTTTATTTGTTTATTTTTAGAGGGGAAGGGAGGGAGATAGACAGAGAGAGAAACATCAATGTGCGGTTGCTGGGGGTTATGGCCTGCAACCCAGGCATGTACCCTGGCTGGGAATCGAACCTGGGACACTTTGGTTCCCAGTCTGTGCTCAATCCACTGAGCTACGCCAGCCAGGGCTTCAGTCTGTATCTTTTAAAAAGATTTTTACATTTAGTTTTAGAGAGAAGGGGAGGGAGAAAGAGAAACTTCCATGTGTGGTTGCCTCTCGTATACCCACTACTGGGGACCTGGTCCCCAACCTAGGCATGTGCCCTGACTGGGATTGAACTGGTGACCCTTTGGTTTACAGGCTGGCACTCAATCCACTGAACCACACCAGTCAGGGCTTCAGTCTGTGTTCTTTAAAAAAATTACAAACTCTTAAAAACTGATTTTATAGGGCAATATCCCAAGATATAAGAAGAGCCAAATGGAGATTTGCAACGAATCTGGGGAAGCTGAGCCTGTCACGGCCTCCTAGAAGCTGACATTGTAACCACTGCCATCCTACAACTGAATTGCTTTGTCATGTCTTTCCTCTTCACTCTGTTAGGCTTACACTAAGCATTACTCTCTGAGGTGTTGAGAAGGAACAAGACATGGATGTTGGGCAGCCCTGGGTTGGAATCCTGATTCCGTCTGGCTCTGGGATCTGCTTAAAGTCACTACAAATGTGGATAATGACACCTACTTCCCAGGGCTGTTGGGAAGGACTGGATGAAACAGTCTGTGCAAAGACCACTGTCAAGTGCCTGGTACTCCACAAATGTGGTTTGTTTCCTGTGGGTGAGTATAGCAGAGTACTTTCAATACTCTGTGATTCATCTGATACTATCAGGCCTATCCAAAGCAGCGAATTAGCAGGAGACTTCAACTACTCTTATTCTGTTTTTTTTTTTAATGTCATATTCCATTTGAGTACTAAGCATGTAGGCAGGTATCATGGAATGCAACAAGTGAGGAAAAAGAAGTGAGTTGTGGGAATACTGTGTGAAATAATGCTGTAACTCAGATAAAACAGCTGCTTGGCTGTAGGAAGAATTACCACTAAAACATTTAAAAAGAGACTTAACATAAGAACAAGCTATTTTAATCAAGCAAAAACAAAGTTATATTCATTATTTCTAAAAATAAAATTAGACTTTTTCCAACCCTTAACATCTGCATTTAATAATATCTTCTAGCCAAAATACAGATGCTAAAACAGCAAATTACAATATATCTTGTACAGCATAGTTATGTTCACTGCTTACACTTACTTTAATCCTAGTTGGTCATTAGGTACTCAATGCATACTTAAACATCACTCATCATAAAGTTTTCACAATTAACAAAAAATCTGACAAGGCTGTCTTAAAACGGCTCTGCTATAAATTGTATAGAATATACAGAATTACAAAGTCAAGTATTTTTTATCAAAATATACACCCCTCCCTGAAACTAACACAAGCTGTCAACATTTTAAACGAATAATACAATTATAGAAAATATTTGCAAAATTATTTTTTTCATGTATAAATATTCTGCCATATTTACTTTGGTCTAGAATTATCAGCATACAAGTCCACTTTAAAAATATCCACATGTAAGGGCTGGGAGACATCACTACATGTAGTCTAATTTCATATTTGGAGTTACTTCAAATCAAAATGACTAAAATACACAATTATTTTTCTTGATTAATAATCCTAATTGAGTTAAAACAAATTAGTAGATCACAGGATTGCTTATTTGATATTCTAATTATCAATTCAAAAATGATTTTCATAAGCCCTTTGTGACAATCTCTTTAACAAAACCCAAATGAATAGTGCAGGTATACATATATACAATGTATAAAATAAAGTTGAATTGCTTGCATTTTCTTCTATTACATAATACTGTATGTGAGTGAACGTAGATGAACAAAAGATAAATGCAGATACAATATTGGGGTTACTTAACAGTAAAGTACTACAGCATTCAAAGGTCAGCTTTGATCATGTCCATTTCTGGGTGTGTAAATGCTTTCTTGCCCACCCAAATCCATATTAAGTCTTCTTCATGGTGACATCACATCAGGAGAGAGAAACTGGAGTCCTGTGAGCTACTTCTTCATAGTGGTAACCTCGCAACGCTGGACACCTTGGGTTTCCATCTATCAAATCCCAAGAACACGAATGGCTGCAGGCTACCCTTGAACTGGTTTCCGGATTCTGTTCATACTGGTGATCAAAGGGTAGGAATGATTTCTCTCTGCCTCCTATCACGGCAGTTTAAAAAGTAAGACTCATGAGTTCCAGCTTCCCAGGAACCTAGTCCAGACGACGGAACATCTTGTAGGGCAATTAGACTTCGAGGGCAGTGTTGACAGGATGGGTCAGTGGAAAAGAAAATTGTGAAACTTAAGTGGGTGTTTTAGCAAAGGGGCTAGATGTCTGCAAACATGAAGACAAGGCATCTGACTTTGAGGATATATTTGAGTCACGTAAGTGATGGAACCTTATCTCCCTCATCCACATTTTATCTCCTTCCCCAACCCCAAGCAAAGCTACTATTTGAGGCAAGGAAGGTCATCCCTTCCAGTTGCTGGCTCAAGTCCTTCACGGGTGGGGCAGGTGTGTGTTTCTGTTGTCCTTTTGTTTTATATTAGTATATACTTGTGGGCTGTGCAATCTCCAAGGAAGCTGATCATGGTAGGGGTTAGATTTTCTGTCCCTATCAAGTGTCTGGGCACTGACCACTGTGTGCATGCCTTGCGCTAACTTTCCTGGACACACCTTCAGTGGAATAGGAGGTGTCAGGTTTTACTTGAACCCTTGAGACTGGTTAAGTCTGTCTGGAACAGACTTCCACATTTATGGCCTTGTGATGGATGGAAGACCACGGGGAGTTTCAGAAGAATTTAACCCTTCTTCATTTCCTGAGGTGAGGCCATTGCAAAGTAATACACAGCACAGGTAACCACAGGTAAATTCTGGGAAGGCTTTCCCCCATAGATAAGGCATGACCTATGTTTTCTGTGACTTGGATAGACCAATTCAAATAACAGCTCAGCCATAACATCAAGAGAACAGCATTCCATCTAAAAGCATACACATGCTCTTAAGTCATATTCAAAATGCTTCCTACTGGTTTTTACATCAGTCCTCATTATTTGCAGACCTATTGCTCATCATTATAATTCTCTACAGGGGACACGGACAGTTAAAAGTCATACTGATTTATATATGTATTTTACAAGGTTTGTGTTGCAGAAAAGTAGTTCTAATATATGAATGTCCTACTTAGGTTACTCGTTTCACATGTATTTTTAGCTATATTAAGTATTTAATATGTATCCATTAAATTTAAACAATTTTCAACAGCGCAGAAGCTGAATGGGAATGACTGTTACAGCTCATTTACCTTTTAACTTATGAAGATGACATTTTCATGATGTCTAACCCTTTTCTCCAGTGACTAAAGACAGTTTAGCAGCCAGTTCCTATTAGCACTTACCAGAAAGTTTTAAATTAGGCTAAAATGAAACTTTTTTCCACTGGCAGAAATACCACAGCTAAGAACTTCATAAACTTTCACAAGATACTTGGGATATTGGCGAAGTCAGCTATTTTGTTTTTGCGCACTTTGCAAGATGTTAACGCTAAAACCCAAAGCAGATATTAGGATCCTCTTTCTGGAATTTTCACAAATGAGATTTTTGTTTTACAATTCACTCCTTCATGACTGTTAATGTGAACAAAACTAAACTTAAAAACAAAACCAGAAGAAAATAGCTAACTAAAAAATAATGATAATAAACAAACCCATCAACTTATATTTTTGATTTGTTTTCCCCCAAGTATCGCCATTCAAAGGCTTCCAACAATGGTTTGTACATTATCCTTTTGGTCATTGTCTTCCGAATCCATGAACTGTGGATTCTCCAGCGGATCTGAGTTTTCCTGGTACACATCACCTTCCGATTTCTCCCGCTGACTCGGGCTTTTGAATAAGTGTTTCTTCTGGTGCATGCCAAGGGCAGCAGCTGTTTTGCAAATTTTGGGGCACTGGAAGCAGGCAAAGCCCTTACCGTTGTGCTCCCGAATATGCCTCTGCTCGTGATTCCTTTTTGTGGAGAGGTACAAAAAACTCTGAAAGCAGAACTGACAGTGGTAACGCTTCTCGCCAGTGTGGATTCTTTCGTGGATTTTGAGGGTCTCGTTCAGCGTGAACGCCTTGTTGCAATACTGGCAGATGAACTCCTTGACGCCTAGGTGGATGCGTTCATGCTTCTGTAAGTTTCCCTGCACAGAAAAGCACCGCCCACAGGTCTTGCACTGGTACGGCTTCTCTCCGGTATGACACCTCATGTGCATCTTGAGCGTGGATGGGCTTTGGAACTGCTTGGCACAGAGCTCGCAGGTGTATGGCCGGGCGGTGACGTGCCGGTGGGGCCTGCCTTGGTTTCCAGCCCCCGAGGCCTTGTCTCCATCGCAGAGCTCACACTGCAACTTGGGCATCTCTTTATTTTCTTCTTCCTCAAAGGCCTTCTCCTGAGGAGCCTTCCCCACAGCACAGTCCAGTTCTGCCGGGTATTTATACTTACTGCTTGGGCTCCTGTTTTCATGTTCTTTCCTCCAGTTGACTTTCCTCATTTTTCGCAACTGCCTGGATTTCTTTTTGGGTTTGTAGTTGTAGTAAGGGCGCCACGGCTTGTCGGTGGAATCCTGGTCACTTGCATCATCGAACATTTCACTCATATCCACACACTCGGATTGGCAAAGCTCGAGCGGGCTGTCTCTGTTGGTTTCCAGGTCACTCTCTCGTGGCAAAGTCTCTTCCTGCACTTGATACTTGGGTCTTCTCCCTCTTTTATAGAACAATTTAGATCCCAGGATATGCCTTTTCACAATGGCTTCATTCCCAATTTTGACTGTTATTTGGCAAAGAGGTGCGACGTTGCTGTTTGTGGAGGTTCCGGGGAGAGCAGGTTTTGCGATGTAGGTTTCAATTTTACTGGTTTCTTTAATGACATTTGTGGTTTTGCTCAATGACGCTCCGGGGTCAGCAACGTAGCTTGATCCCTCTGGCATCTCTCCCCTGTTACATGGGACGGTTTTCTTTTTCTCCTTAATGCTTTTGGGTCTGCTGACCACTCTCCCCACTTTGTCTGGCTCAGGTTTGCTATCGCCTTGCCCGGGCTGACTGATAGGTGGATCTGAAGGGGCTCTGTGGTTGGTGCTGGACATGGCAGCCACAGAGGCACTGTGCATGATTACTGACGAAAACTGGCTGCTGTGTACGATGACCGAGGGCGCTGAGCCACTGTAGCTGATCACGGAGGCTGAGTTCTCACTGCCATTACTCAGAGGCAAAGTGGGCATGTTCCCAGCCGGGAGGTCTGAAATGACAGCATTTTCAGTGGAAGAAACTGACACCTCCGTTGAATAAAAGTTATTGTCAAGATCAACTTTCAAGGGCTCCTCTCCCCATTTGGTCCCCTCTGCATTTTGGACATTGGCAGAAATGGGTCTGTCCCGACATGTGGATGTTTCCAGTGGGACAGCTCGACTGTTGGTCATGGTGTTTGCGCTGTCTTGGAAATTCAGTGTCGGTAATTCAGAGCTACATGGATTCTGAATAACATAGGGACCAGGTGCAGGCTCATTCATCTGCCTGTTTTCTCGAGCATTTTCATATGAAGAATTTCGGTAGCTCTTATAAGGAGCCCTCTTGCATTTCATAGGCAGGAGCCTATAAAGTTTATACGGATAGACAGTAGGTTTCAAGCCTCCATTTGCAGTTTTTTTATTGATGGAAAGTCTATGATCTATGGCGTGGAAAGACTTCTGATGGTTTTTGAGAATGTAGTAGGTCATGAAAGTTTCAAGGCAGAAAATGCACTGATACCGCCTTTCTCCTGTATGCCAAACTTCATGTCTTGTCCTGTACTCCGCCAGCGCGAACACTTTGTTGCAGTAATGGCAAGGGTACGTTCTTCTCCATGAGTGGACATTTGCATGTCTGCGAAGGCTGGATAAAGTCACATAACTACGCTTGCATACAGCACAACTGTACAGCATTTGCCCATTAACAAATTTAACCATGTGGTCCATTTCTGGCAAGGTACTTCCAGTACTGGAAAATTCACCAAGCCTGTTTCCAGATAATAAAGACTCTGGACGTGTGAAGGAAGCTCCGTTTTGTCCAATGGTAGGATAGTTTTCTAAAAAGCGTGGATTTCCTCCAGGAACGGGCATGTGGCTTGACCGCATGCAGATCTGTTCGTGCCGATCCAGTCTGTTTGGGGTGCTGAACTGTTTGTTGCAGTACTTGCACACCAAAGGCTCCTGGGTCGGCTTGTGCAGCTGCATATGGGCACCCAGCAAAGTACTACTGTCAAAGGATTTGGAGCAAGAGCTACAGTTGTAAATGAGAGGTGGAACCTCCGCTGCTGGCGGCCCAGGGACGTCAGAGGACTTGTTTTCATCTTCCCTGGGAAGAAGGACCTCTCCTTCATTGTTGGGAGACTTTGAACCAGAAAGAATGGCAGCTGGCTGTGGACTGCTTTCCTGATGAACCTCCACGTTGGTTACTGGTGGGGGTGGCATCTCTTCTGTGGTCGGTTCAGAATCCTGGGGCATGGAAAGTGTCTTTGGCTTCCAGCATGTTTTCGGTTTTGCAGTAAGAGCCTCGCCGTTTTCTTTCCCTGTTTTATCAGGTGAGCTGCCAGCATGTTCACATACAGGCTGACTCCGGTACGCCTCAGCCACGGAAGAAACGGCATAGGAGTGCTCCGCCAGGGTGCGGACAGGCTCTGCCTCGTGACAGACATCAGTCCTCTCCAGGCAAAGGCTTGTGGTTCTCATGGAGTCGGAGACCTTTTTGAAACTTGCCCTCAAGTCCAGTGGGGAAAACATGTTATTACTATTTTCCGTTTCAATGATGGAAAACGCATTTGTGATCCTTGGCCCGTTAGTGATGGCTGGTTCTTCATGCCTTTTTTCATTTTTTTCTTCTTTAACCACTCCCTTTTCAGTAATGCAGAATACATAGGGGCCTGGGGAATTTGAGAAGCTGCGATCGGTCAAATCTTCTAAGAAGGAGATTCCCAGCTTTTTTCCTGCAGCTGCAAGATCAGTGACTGTTTCCTGTCTCTTGACGACGACTGTGGAGCTGTAGATATAATTAAGGATTTCTGTAAACACTTCGGCTTTGAGATCATCCAGCTCCAGGACATGGCTGGAAATACAGATTGTATGGCTCCAAAAGATATTTTTGAAATAAAGGCTCGAAGCAGCCAGGACATTGCTGTGGGCTTTGAATTTGGTATCTTCCACAATGATAGTGACATCACATAAAATGCCCCGGATGCGCTGCTCATTTAAAATGGAGAGCACTGTGTCACTGTGAAAGTCGTCCTTGAGGTCCCTGGAAAGGGACATGACTGTCATCTGAAACAGAGGAGAGAAACAGTCAGACTCTTCCCCAAATAGCCTCTTTATTTCTGGGTTATTTTCAACCTCTTTGAAAACAATCTGTGTATGAAAGGAGATGTTCTTATCTCATACTGTTGTTGCTTACAAGACTTGGAGTCCACATGAGGAGCTAAATCTTTATTTTGCTCCAGTTTGTTTCTTATGCTGTTGCTAAACTATTACAATTGGAACGCCTCTCAGAACTCTTTCTCCAAAGGTGTAGCTATACGCATGTGTCTGAATGTGGGGGGAGGAGGTCCTCCCAAGTGTTAAGGGTCTTGCCATCACTCGGCTGCTGCGTGGAACCCCTAGAGCTGGGCAGTGCCACAGTCCCACCACAAGCCTCCTGCCTATTTTCAAAGACAGCCCTGATGATCCGATCCAAACGCCATTCATAAAGCTGGAAAAGGATTTCTAAAGAGTTTCCCTAAGTAAGCAGTACCTGTACGCAAAGGTGTTGCCTGCTCATAGAAACAGCAAGGACTGGAGGACATTTCCTAATTTGTGGCTTCCAAGGGTCTCTCAATGGAAAGTCACAGTCTGCATGACCACGTCTGACCACTGGGGGCGCCCATCCCATTCCTCCTCTGATTTCCCTCCCATTAAAGCCAAAGTAAGTAAATAAAGCAAACCAGGCGAAGGAGACTAGGGTTTTCAAAAAGAACTCTGAGAGATACTGAAGGCAAACCAAAAATGAAACCAGGACAGTATGTATCTGAGTCTGCAGGCTGAGTCTCACCACAGGTTCCTAAATTAGCACAATTTAAAGGCACAGTGAGTGGCTTGTTCTGGTCTGAGGACCCTATTGCTGAGACTAGTTCCCAGAGACTAGTTCTTGCTCTTCTCTCTGTGTGTTCTATAATCAGCCTGGAATGGCCAGGGCCTACTAACTAATAGTCCTGTGAGAAGCAGTCCAAAGCAGTGGCTTTTGTATTTACCTACAATAAATACGTGGTACTTTAGTGACCTAAGACACAAGTGAAACTGAAACTTGACCCTTCATGGGAACGATGCATTCTGTCCTTTCTACTATCTTTCATTTTTAAAATACTAACATCAACTCGCTAAACTAATTTCATTACACACTAATATATCACTCCTCCAGTTAAAACAAAATAAAACCAACAAATGAAAAACCCCTCTGGTGCACAGCATATACAAAGCAGACATTCATCCAGTCTCTCTGGCCCTCGTCAAGTGACGCCCAGGAAGCCACACGGCTTGCTGCTACTTCTTTAAATCGCAGTGGCAATATCTTCCTAGCAAGGGAGTATAATATTGAGCTCAGAGCATTTATTCAGGTGGAGAGACCAGATGGCCACATAAAGAACCTCTTTTTTCCTTTTTTTGTGAAGCTATTATAAACTGTGCCCATTATATTACTTAGCATCCTTTATGCAAGGGTTCATTTGATAAATTCTTTTATCTCACTCAGCCATAAGAAAACGTATACTTTTACTAACACATTCTCTAATTCGGTTAATGAGAATATATCCCCAAGTTTCTCTTAATTCTTGAGACAAGTTAGAATGGACTTTTATTGTCAATGGTGGTGGCCATTGTGAGCCTGGGTTTCTGGTGTGACAACTGTCTAGTTCTACTCTTGTTTGCCCTGCCTTTAATGGTAATCTCCCACAAATCTTTTCTAAAGCTCTGGGGGGGGGGGGTTAAAACTATAAATAAATGTAAAATGAAATGAAATGGTTACTGCTTCCTCTGTGCCCCTGAAGGGAGAGAGGGCCACCCCTGCACAGAACGCAGGTGTGTGTCCTTCACTGGGTTATAAATCAATAATATACTCTGCTGATGTTCCTTTTGTCTTCCTTGAGGTCTGTCTGTTCTGGGCTACTTTCTCTCCTGATTCTTACATTCTTACCCAGTTTGGTTTCTGTATTCTTCATCCAGCCTGACTGGATAGTCTCAGATCTGGCAAAACTCATACTATGTGGTTCAAAAGGGCGACTTCCCTTCTGGCTTAGTTCTATGCTGACGTCATCTATTTTGTCCTTTTATGTCAGAATCACTGCTTGTTCCAAAACACCCCACTTTAGGGCACTTTGAACCTCCTGCGAGGGTCTGCCTCTATCTGGGGAATACAGTATTTCACCTCAAGCTAATATAAATACTCTCGGGTGTCAGATTATAAGCCCCGCTCACTTCTGTGGTATTCTCTGATTCTTCTCTTAGATTGGTCAGTTAGAATGGTTAGCAAAAGGCCAACTATCAACACTTAGTAAGAGCCCAGTCTCGCAGTCAGAGTGACATATATTGTAGAAAGCATCATTATAGGTCATGAGAATATCCTTATGACGTTGGAAAATCCAAACATGACATCTTTCAGGAGACTCTACCACTGAGTGACAGAACCCTTCACAAATCAGTTACTGGGTAGTACCTGGATGTGCCTTCTTGGCACACACAAAATAACCTTCATTCTTGTATTGCTTTTACCCAGCAGATGTGCTCATGACTGGCGTGGTCAGACTCAGTGCTCAGAGCTGGAGGGACTGAGGGGAGCAAGGCAAGCCTCTGCCCTCCAGGGGCCAGAGTCCAGGGAAAGAAAGAAGCCTGGCAACTGACAACTGGAAGCCATGATGGTAGGCCTTACACTAAAGGTGTGTACAGAGTGTCACAAGATGACGTGACAATTTATTATTTACAGGGGTCCTGGAAGACTTGGCCTTAGTTAACACACGAAAGATGGGTGTGGGTGGGGCAGTCTAAGCAGAAGGAGCACTGGGAAAAACCAACAGAAAATGAGCATACTGTACGCAGGGACTGATGAGTATTAGGTCTGGGGAGGTCAGGAGAGGGTGTGTGCACTCTTCTGTCCCCAGTGCCCTCGGCAGTGCCGTGCGCACAGCTGGCCTCGGCACCTGTCTATAGAGTGTGATGAGCTAGGAAAGAAAGGGTCAGCCCAGGCCATGAAGGGCCCTAAAGGACTCCCACAGTAAATTTTATGCCTCAGGCAAAAGTGAACTGCTGAAAGGCATGAACAGATTTGAATGAAGGGGAAAAAATCACTCAGGCGGCGGCATGCTGAAGGGATCAGAGGGAGGCAAGCTGCATGCAGGAGACCAGTTAGTGAGGCCATGCTGGGGTCCAGGTAAGCAGCAGCCCATCCACCCCATAGCGAGAGCCTGGGGATGAGCAGATGGCCGCACCCTCTGCCAAGAAGGACTGGGAGGTGGTGGTAGCTGAACTCAAAATATACTTCAATACTCTCATCAATATTTACTGAACAATTGCTAAGTACAAGGAATCAGGCTAAACGCCACAGGAAGACAAGAGCTCATTCCTTCTTTGAACAGATGTTACTGAATACCTGCTATATGCTTTGGGACAGTAGCCCCCAAACCTGACTACACATTAAAATCACCTGGGAAGCTTTAAAAACAGTATAGATTCCCCCAAGGCCTGTGGTGTAGCAGGGGAAGTAAGATTTAAAGGAATGGAAAGTCCTTACTACTCTAGCACCCACCTCTCCAATCTTAACAGCGCCCTTTACCTAAACCACCTCGTTGTGTCATAAAGAGCTTCTGGACCATGGGTTACCAGATGACACCAGAAGGCGCTGCAGCTGAAAGCCATATTCTGCTTGTCCGCAGTGCAAAGAAGCCATGAGCCCGAGGCCTGCAGACCGGAAGGAAGGCACCTAAGGCCAAGGGCAAACCTGGTCCCCGCAGGTTCTGTTTGACTCACAGGTTTTGGAACCATGTTTTTGAAAAACTGATGTTGAAAAACAGTAAGATTTAACATAAAAATCAATATACCTTTTCTTCAAAAAAATAGGAAGACAATGAGGTGGTTGCCTACCTGGTAAGAGAACTGGGGCCTCGTGGGCATGCCCTGTCACAGCCCCCCACCCCCCTTACAGCCCATGTCACACTGGCACCGCTCCCAGGCACTTCTCGCCCTGCGGCTGCGTGCAGCAACGTGACTGGCCTTGCCTGTCAGCCAGTTTGGTCTGTGCAGCTGATAAAAACATTAAATAAAACATGGATGGACCCACAGACCTCATCAGACATCCTTACTGTAAGGACAGCCCCAAAATCAAAATGAAGAGTTCTAAGTGAGCTCTTGGTGGGGGTGACAGTCATTCTCACATTCAAAATAGTATGCTTTGGCATTAAAAAGTGAAGTGAATGACCTCTTCCCTTACATTTCCTCATAGAGAGTAACTTGAAAACAGAAGTCTTAGGCACTCCTGCTAATGGAAAGCTCACAACAGACTTCAGAAAAAGAAATATAAGTTGCAAAGAAGATGAGATTTAATTCACATGTAACTTTCTAAAATGCTTTCTAAAAAGCAAGTTTCATGCAGAAAATTTACTATTCTCAGTAGTACTGCTGTGATGGAATAAATAAGCATGGAAAAAGCTAGCAAAAATGTTACAGATGCAAAATATTTTGGTGAAACAATGTTAAAAAAATAAACAAATTTGTAATTACATAACTGTGCTCATCTGACTTACATTAGTATTTTCCTGAGCTTGTATTTTAGTTGTAAGAGATTTTAACATATGTCTTCTGAACACACAAGTACACAGTATACACCCACATGTGTGTACAAATAAATGTATGATTTATAAACATATGAACATATTCTATACATAATTTTATAAGCACATAAAAATAGGGTGAACATATAGTTTAGCACCCAGAACAGGACACTTGAGAGAGAGGGTGCAACAAATAACTATGCCAGAGAAATGGGGTTGTACCTCAGGAAACAGGAATGAATGTTTATCTTGTATTTATATATTCAAATGCATAAGTAGAACATAAACCTCTATGTAAATAATAAGTAGTACATATATGTACATTCACATAAATTATACTTTATAAGTATGTAAAATGCTTTTAAGAATTTTATAAATATCTGATAAACATACTTTATATAAATGCCAGCTGGTTAGTATATTTGGAATCTTCTGCTGCTTTTGTCACTGCCGTACTCCAACCACACATAAAACTACATGCCCACACAGTGTAACCATGGGCACTTAAGATATGTTTCATGATTAAAATGACTTTTCTTCACCTGCTTTTAGAATGAACTAGCTTTAAAAAAATTAAAATAAATCCAGGCTCATGGTAAAATGCTCAGTGTAGAAGGGCATTAAGGCAGAAAGCAGGTGGCCCCTTCTCCAGCCCCACATTGATACACCCACAGCACATGCACTCCCTGGTCACAGAAGCTCTTCTGAGAACTCTGGAAGATTTCTACATTCCATCTGCAGGAAGCTTTAGGAGGAAAACTGTATTTCCTTTGGAGGTTCTTCTACCCTAGATCCTCGTTCCTCTGTCTGGCAATCCCTTATACTTACTCCTCTCAGGTGACACCCCATCCGTGGGCCTCCCTGTGCTAAAATTTCTAGATTTGGGTTCCTACGTTTATTGTAGCATGTAGTATGGCGCACTGGTTCAAAGCACGTCTTTCCCCACTGGCACCTTGAGGGCAGGGCCATCTAGCTCATCTCCGTGCCCTCTGCCCCTGGAGGGCACGATGGGTGTTGACGATGAGCAGGGAAGAGCTGGCTCCTCAGACCTTGGGCAGAAAATGGCTTTACATGCAACTTACATATTGTGTTTAGACAGGTTCCTGATTTAAAGCTTTAAAAGTTACACCTAGATGAACCCAAATTCTTCTCTATAGAAAGTAAAATTAGTAGGAAAATATAACTTAACTCCTGTCCCTTTCCGCCACCCCCAACCCCCCCCCGCCCCCGGTTTCCTTCTAATCTGGCAGTTTTCAAAATGTTTCATGGACCTCTGGCTCTCCCAAGGCCCTTTCAGTAGGCGTTGACATTGGTAAGTAAGTAAGTAAGTAAGTAAGTAAATAAATAAATAAATAAATTCATAACACTAAGATGTCATTTGCCTTTTAAAAGAAACTATGCAGACATGTGCATTAATGGTGCGAGCAATGAGGGATAAAACAGCTGGCATGGTAGCAGGCATGTAGCCAATAACACTAAGATGAAGGAGTAAAAATTATTAATTACATTAAAATTCAACTCTCGCATACACATCCTTTTGCTGCTCTGTGTGATCAAGTAGGGGGCATACATAAAGCCTGTCTGATGTGCACCGAGAAGCAGTGACGGCCGTGAGGTGAAGCATGTGGTTAGTTCTTTGAGCTGTGGCTGAACTGGCCTTTTTTTTTTTTCTTTCATGGAGCACCATTTTTACTGAGAGACCAACTAGTGTTATTCAGATATATATCTGACTGAGTTACTCAGATTGGGTATGTGGGCAAACATTTTCGTGAAAATGGACTGAGTGAGCCTGTCATTTTAAGGAAGTAGCCCTTTTGTTGACAGTACTAAAATTAACCTGCCAAGAGAAAATTAGTTTTGGGGAAAACTGCATCCACCTGCCATGAGCCTGACACTTCTCAATACTGTAAATGACTTCTCTAATGAGGCTGGGGGTGAGGTTAACGAATATAAGTTCTGGAGATATGGAAGATATGCACAGCTCAGTGAACCACTGTTGTCCAAATGACCAATGCTTATTGTTACAAAAAATGATGCGTGGGCTAACAGGTATGAGATAGGCCAGTGGATTTAAGTGTAACTAAGTGCTCAGAGTTCATTCATATGGTTTCAGATTGCATGTTGCAAATAACCTTTAAGGAGCAACCTCCTCAAGTTCTAGTGTGCTATCAAAGAATGTCCGTGACTAACTGAAAAGACTGTTACAAAACGACTTCCTTTTCCAACTACCTATTTGTGTAAGGCTGGATTTTCTTTACATGCCTCAACTGAAATAACAGATCGCAACTGAATCCAAAAGCAGATACGAAAGTCCAGCTGTCTTTCTATTAAGCCAGACATTAAAGATATTTGCAAAAAGCAGAACACCACTTTTCCTACTATGTTTTTCACTTTAGAAACTTATTTAAAAAATAAAGTGTTATTTTTATATCATGCAACTGCATTTTATCATAGTAATTTTTCCTAAGTTAGTGGTTTTTAAATCCTTATTTAAAATTCTGAATGTGGTCAATCCTGATAGCTATAACTCAGATAAACAAAAGCTTGTTGGCTCCTCAAGGATTTATAAGAGTGTAAGGGGGTCCAGGGACCAAAAAGTTTGAGAACTGCTACTCTAGCCTATAAGAAAATGTTCAAACTCATTTTTAAGGAAATTACTTTAAAATTATTTTACTCAATAAAATAAATCAGGTATAAGCCTAAAAGAACTAAAGACAAAGTGAATGAAAGTGTGATAGAATATAAGGCAGAAATCCCCAGGACACTGGAGAGACCAAGGAATGGAGCAGCACAGAGAGACACATCCACAGTCGCACGGATACACAAACACTCTGCAGCTGTCTAATCCTCCAGGTCTGAAGTGTTACCATCAGCCCTCACTCCCCAGAGCTCTTTCCAGCAAACCCTGGAGGCCTTGGCAGAAGGGGAGGGAACACGAGGGCCACCAACCAAACTGGAATCTCCTGCTTCTTCACACTGCTCTCTCGCCCCCCACGATCTCACTCCCCTGAAAGTATCAGTCTGGCCCTGGCCACTCTGACCTTCGCACCTGCTACTTCTCTCTGCCTCCTTCACCAGCCCCCTTGCTGTTTCTTGAAGAAGCTGAGCACGCCACACCTCTGGGCCTTTGCACATGATGTTGTTCTCTTTGTCTTGCATGCACATTCTTACTGGATTTCCACCTGCTCTGCACCATCAGGCATCACTTTGTGGTGAGGCCCAGCACGACTGCCTTATTTAAAACTGCAACTCCCCACCCCAGCACTGATGTCACAGGTAGGTTCTTGAAAACCGCAACTTTAAGCAAAATGACATATAAGGAAACCTATTTTACCCTAGACTAAATGATGTAAACAAGAGTTACATTCCTACAACACATTTTGGATCACAGGAACATCACCCAACTTTGGGTCTTCTAAATAAAGACCCAAAACACTTCTAACATTAATCATTAGAATAAATGTAAGCTATGCATACATTTAAGAGAGACTTATAAGAACAAGTAAAATAATTATTTTCCATCCCACTCATTCCAGTTCAGGGTGGTGGGTGGCCAGAGCCTGTCCCGGCAGCTCAGCGTGCAAGGTGGGACCCAGCCCCGGACAGAATGCCCTTCCATGGCGGGGCCGATCTGACACCCGCTCCCACCCACACTCAGAAGGGGACAATGCTGACACGCCACTCTGCCTCACGTGCACGTCTTGGGATGTGGGAGGGAACTGAAGCCCGCAGAGAAAACCCACACAGGCGTGGAAAGAACATGCAAGCCCCGTACCTACAGAGGCCCTGGCTAGGAATCGGACTTTTTCCTTCTCAGTGTTATAACAAAACCACCTTATGTGAGGACCTGCTGTACTTAAATTTGATTATGGCTGAAAAACCAGGGGGACCAAGAGTCCTTTCATGCTACACTCGGGTGAAAGCTGTTCCCTGATTTTTAGGGCTGCTGCCCACATTCTGTTTGTGTGGCCTGTCACTGCTCGCGCCCTTGCCTTGCATGTCTCCAAGGTTAGCTTGGTCAGTGCTGTTTGCTCTGGTAGACCGATCCATTCACCCATTACATTAGTCTCCTCCCCATCGTATCCTGGATACTGCTTTTACTATTCTGGGATTGAACTTGAAAACAACAGAAACAGATTTTTGGCAATGATCTGGCCAACTAATTCCCAGTATTTCCAGCTTAATTAAATCTTCCCTCCCCCAATTAGTCAAGGCAACTTTACTGAAATACACAGACGTCAAAAAACTTAAAATGGCAGTTTCCGTATAAATTCTAATTCTCATAATGCAAAAAAAATGCTGAAAAATCTCTTTAAGTTGTTAACCAGCATATCTACCATGTAGAACTTTATAGGGCTTGTTAATAAAATTTAGTGTACTTTCCTTAGTAAATTTTTAAGATGACATACAGAGAGTGAAGTAACCCTATCCAGTATAATTGTTAGTGAGAACTAGAAGTCGCTTACTCAAGGCCACTCTCCTGGACCAGACTAAAGCCCATTTTTTTCCTGAATCTTCTGATCACAAGGAGAGGCCGAGCGTCCTCCTGCAGCTCCCTGGCACACAATTCATAACGCACGTACGTAATAACAAAATCGAACAGACAGAGCAACTCTCTGTCTCCTCTCTCTACTGCAAGTCGTCTTCTATAAAAAGAAACTTAGAAATAAAACCCAACTAAAAAAAGAACGCACTGTATTAGGATACTGACCTGGAATCCTGCAAAAGTCAAACTCACAGCCCATTTTGGGCTAGTGCGAGGCCCATATCACAGTGGAATCTGCTGCGTGGGTCTGCTGCGCCCTGTGGAAAGTTTTCTGACAACGGACACTGCTTCAGTGATCCGGCTCCACCTTCCCACACATCTTCGCAGTACATTTTCTCATAGTCATGTCGGGTGTGCGTCAGACCGCCCCACGTGACTGAGTGTTAGAAACACACGCAGCAGATCTCGAAAACAGATTACAAAACAGAAGCTCTTTATAGAGTTCAGCTGTGTCTAGGAAAAGGCAAATCCTCTTGATTTGCCTCCTAAAGGGA